GTCTGGATAGACAGAAAACAGATTAAGTGAGATGTTCTATTTACGTAACCATAAAAATAACTGCGTGACTATGATTGCATGTATGTGCAAGAGTTAAGTAAACAGATGAATTTTATTACACTTATTTATAGCATACATGGAAAGTTCATCTTAATTTCTTAAGGAAAAACAATTTTAAATTAAACAAACTGCTCTTGGCATAGAGCAGCAAATTTATAGAGCTTTTACCTCTGAATCTTCTTCAAGCTGCAGTTGCCTAGCAATGGCCTCATCATCTAGCGTGCTGTCTCTGTTTTGTGAAGGCTATATTTAAGAAAGAGACCAACAGTTCAGTTTCACCAATACTGTGTAAATTATAATAATTTAATCTGTATGGATTCATTTTGTATACTTCTTGAAAAGGACTGGGAACAAGATGTGCAGCATCTTATTCCTAGCCCTCTAACCTAAACACCATCAAACAAGGCTGTTTTCAAGAGATTTTACTATTCAAAACAAAACCATGCTATAATATAAATATCTCATTTCTTCAAACAATGCTGAACATCTCTGAAGCTATCACAGTTGGCCCACTTGAAAGAGAAATCAGTAACTACATTGTGAATTTTTAATTTCCTCCATACTTTATTTGGTGCTTTGTTATTCCATTAATATATGTGCCATAAAGCTTGGGAAAACAACCTCCTTCCTCTCCCTCCTGTCCTCCGCCCCCAACTATAAGCTATCCCATCCACCCACTGATCTCAGAAAACTACTTAATTTTAAGAAAAGTCACTTGAGAAGAAGCAATAGAGAAAATACTACTTTCAACTTCGTACTATCTTCTCAAACACGGAAATGCTACTCTAAACTTGCATTTAAGGACTTGATGTGCTTGCACGTATCATCAGAGTTGAACTTACACTTGAGCGGTCATTACAAAGTAACATGAAGTAGGACAAGCAGTTAAGTACCTCCTTCCAATCATTAAACTGGCCATTTTGATCTGCTGTCAGACACACGAGCAGCCTAAAGGAACATCATCAATACTCACTTCTTTCCTTTTGCTTGCTACCAGTTTCTTTTCTGATCGTTGGATACTACTTGTCCCAAAGTAATCAAGTGCCGAGGTGGGAGTCTGTTTCACTGGAGATAATGGTTTGCTTTTAGCTCGTGGTTTTACATCTTCCTTTTTCACTGTAGATGTTCCTGAACAACCAGTCGCTGACATACCGTTCTCCTTCGGTTTCAGAGAAATTCTTTTATTGACAAAGTCATCTTCTTCATCTAAACATGAAGAGTATTCTATTATTTCTGGTACATGGAACTTAAGTTCTTATAATGGAACTGTCAAGAGAACTATTTCGGCAGATTACATCAACTCAAAACCTAAGAAAATATTACAGGTGTTTAGAAGTTACTTGAAAAAAAGGCCGAGTTGCATTAACACACAGTATTTAGCATCTTTAATAGCACAGCTTAAGTCTGAACAGATTGGGTACTGAAATAATGACACACAAAATTTGTTACTTGTGTTCATACATTACCTGTCATTTAGAGAAGTTTGCCAAGAATGCCTTCCCTTCTTACATAGGGAAGACAATAAACAGAAAATCTAGGTCACCGAAATTCGAACCCTCTCCTTAATTAACACAACATCAAATTGAACAGCACAACTTCACATAAAATGTGAAGTACAAAGCTACATTTATTTTATTACTCTCTAGCATTCATTAACAGAGCAACTGATATAGGCTTTGTAGACTTGTATGTTCTTAAGAATCTCTCAGTATTACACTATAAACTAGGGGAAAAATATTAGAACATTGTATTTACAAAAAGCTTCTTGAATAAGCTTACTGGTTATTTTCAAAGTACTGCTCATAGCTTATGAATGTTTTAGCAGAAACACTTTAACACCATTTTTTAGTTTTTCCCTTTTAGTCAGTGATTCTATGAGATGTTCTACATCCTCTACATTTCTGCACTTAAACACACTCTCCCTCTAGTACAGTCAAAACCATCTCAAAGAAATTAAGCCATTTCACAGAACATAGGAATCAGACAAGAGGTCAGCATACAAAATAGATTTTTCAATTTAAAAGGAGGAGGAAAAATAGCATACACGGTCTCATTAAGAATTAGCCCACACACCACTGAACAAAAACTCAATCTTTCCTTTTAGGACTCTCCTATAATAGACAGGACACGGTCTTCCCAGCAATGAAAAAGAGAAAGAGGGTTTGACGGCCATTTATTCATTCGGGACCCAAACTCTTCACCCAGTCAATCAATCAAGAAAACAGATTACCAAGGACTTCAAAGAGTTTTGTCTCATGTCATGAAGCCTTCCTGACAGTTATACAAATGAAACCCTATCACTGAAGCATACAAAAACCTACAGATATCATTGCCAAATGATTAGACTAATATAACAGTACAGAAGACAAACATCACTGGACAAACTTCTTGATTAGTGATTAAAGCACTTTCTTTATGAACTCTTCTAAAAACTCAAAGTATGCAAGGGCTAAGAAGCAAACTGCAAGAAAATCCCCAAAATGAACATTACACACAGGATAAAGTGCAAGGACTTGAGAGGAACAGAAACAGAGGCTGTCTCATTTGCATGCCTCTAACTGAAGTCTGGTTTTACTTTTCTTCAATACAGAGATGTTTCAGACACTCCCCTCAACATATCATAAAACACAATGTTCTAAATATCTGTTTTATAGTTGAACTTAAATTGTCAGTATTATCACAAAATTACATTCATTTTCCGGTCATCTCTAGTTTAAGCCCCCATATTTCTTTTCACACAAAAATTTGTCTTCTTAATCACTTCCCTAAGTTTAGATGATGTCATATGTCTGCCACCTGTAATTTTTGTTATATACTCGACAGAGATGGAAGGAAATTATTATTTTTTGTTTCACCTTTTCTCAATAGATGGTAACAACAAGAGTGTTTTAGGCATCAGCTGGAACTTTCTGCTACTGAACACTTACTAAGCAGAATATAACAAGTACAAAGGGGGAGCCTGACTATTCCTGGGAGAGACAGTTCAGAGAGAAAGAAAAAATAAAACAAAGATACATCTGTAAGGGAGGAAATTGTTTCAGCCGTTAAATCAAGAATGCCTACAGATAAAAATTTGTCTACAAGAAAGTGGCATTTTAGCCAATTCAATTCACAAAGCAACATACGGAAGAAAACATTCAAGCCCAGGCCCTCAGTTGACAGCAGCAAATTTTACCATGAAGCTAAAAGCTTTACTATTCTCAACACGATTTACTTTCCCTAGGCAGCAGTAAATCTCTTACTGCCATTTAGCTCAATTTAACAAACTATTACATATCTGTGAGATTTGGACACTAGATGCTTTAGGCTCCTAATTTACAATAGTTTGAGGTCTGAACAGGAGACTGCTTATCTCAAACAATCTCAGAAATATTTTTGCTTCTTTTATATTTTTCAGTTTAACAAGAAAATAATTTGCAGGAGTAAAGTGTACCTATTACTAGAAATCAACAGTTAATGTAGATGTAATTACATTTATTTATCTTGAAAAGAAGATAAAAATCCTATTCTGCCCGCCGCTATTCTTAAGCTAAGGACTGCTCCATGCTAGAATCTTTACTCATCGCTATTGTTATCAGAGGATCTGCATGCAGTATTGATTTTTTTCATTATTCACTCATAACCATTTAGTGACAACAAAACCCAACAGGATATTGCTTTCTCTCAAGTAGAAAGAAGCAAAGTAAATATAATTAGGTTTTAATTTAAAAGGATGTGGATTTGAGTCATTTATGATGCCAGTACTAAGTATTACCAATAATTAGAGCTTTGCTTTAATTATGTCCTTCCTAGAAACGACAAGATTAGAAGCATTTATTGACTGCAAGCAGTGACTGAAGAAGGCCAAGAGACTCACAGCACCTAAGAACAGTTGTCTATAAATGTAAATAAAGAAAAGGCAGAATAAGAACATGACAGTGGTCATTAGGAAACAAAACCACCTCAATTCTATTAAGTGGGTTTCAAAAGATGCTTTAGGGGACAGATACTCAGGCTAATGTTTCATCCCATGTTCAGGGAATTCATAAGCACATTACAAATTTGCCTGATCTCCAGGCACTCCCCTTATTTCTCAAGTACTTAACATCAACTTTTTCAGTAAAACCTTAATGCTTCTTCCTTGAAACAAACTGCTCACGCATGCCTACTGCCACAGAAGTGAACAGCAAAGTTAATCAGCTGTACACTTTCAGTTTCCTTACAAGCATGAAGATGACTTCATTCACAACTTTGAAAATATCAAGAGACTCCTAGTATTGCTGTTGGACTATTCAGTCAGTGTTTCTCAACACATGACCTGTAAAAGGAGAGAGGCATTCTCACTCATACGAACAAGCCAATAATTTGTGGGAAAATAAAAGTGAGAATTCAGATTTTAGCTTATAAAAATTGTAGATTAATTGCATTCTTATAGCACATGCTAGGTGAACAGTTGAGAGAACCTTACATGGGGGCAAGGACTTCACAAAGGAAGAAACAGGAATCAATTTTATCATCAACTCGATTACTTTTATGTGGCAAAATCTTTGTATAGTGGAACAAGACTATTGCGAGAACAGTATTTCCTGTTTACATCAACACTTTTTTTTGTGTGCTATACCATGAAAAAATACCCTGAAAATACAACACATTTGGGTTTTTTTCCAGGATTAGCTCTGAATTACAAACACAAGTCAAGACCACGTATTCTAGTAGAGTTTTCTGGAAATTAAGTAGATGTGACAAAGAGAAAGCTAATCATGTGACTAACGGAACAGATAGGCATGACAACCAGGAGATTGCATCCAAAATAATTAAAAGCAAACACTACACTTGAAGCAGGGACCTATTATGCCAGGTAATGTACAAGGACAAACTTCCCTAGCAACAAACAACAACTGTTAAATCCTGGGGGTTTTAAGAACTATTCCATGACATTAAAGCACATCTGGCTTTCATTTTATGTACTGTTCTAGCAGTAGCACAATTAGGTTAATAAACTAATGCCTGCAGCCCACCTGTAACTGTTTGTTATTCCTCTTCCTGTTTCCTCTCCTCACCCTTTCTCAACTGGGTTTCACCTGCTGATTACAAAGCAACATCTGCAGTTGTTCCCTAACTGATCCCTATCAAAATTATCTAGGCTGTTTTAAACATTTAAATTCAGATCATTTTAAAAGGCTCAGGAATGACCTCAGCCAATCTAAAAAGGGAGCAATCTATTGCAGGAAGGGATACTGGCAACAATCAGCATAGGACAGATCCTCAGATGGCCTTCAGAACAACTTATTTTATTCATCTTCATTTATTATTTCTGTATTGTTGAGTTCCTCATCAGTATAGAATATAATTCCCTGGTTCCTATTCTGTTTAGAATGCAAAATTTGTAAGGCAGAGACAACCTCTCTATGATATTATAAAACCAACTCCAAATATAGGCAGGGGATCTACAGGTTACAAATAACTCGTACTTGTTATGATAAATGCATGTTAAATTGGTGTTTGTAGACTACTACATAAAGATTTCTATATGGAGCTAAAGGACTATATCCTATCCAAAAGTCATTAAACCTACATTACTTGTATAAAGTGACAATATTCTGGACATTCTTCAGTTTCAATGGCACCACATCTGCACAGTACTTAAAACGGTTCCTGTCCTAAAGAACTTGCAGTCTAGAGCAGTAGGTGTTACTGTCCAAGCTGAAGTTGAGGGTGAAGAAAATAGTGTTTGTATGAAAAGAAGTCATTGTATCAGGTTTTGATTATTTTAAATATGCATTGGTCAGTACTCAACAGTGCCAACACTTGGTAGGACTGAGTTTTGTATTCACCTTTTGCTTAAAGTAAATCTTTAAGAAGATGATCTTTAATACAACCACCACTTCTCAAAAAAGCTATAGCAAGTCTGTTCAAACTCAACCCCCTAACTCTCTCCAAAAAGAACAGATGGTATGTGTGACTAGCAAAGTGCATTTTTTTCCTCCATCTTCCTCCTCATTTAAACATAGTAGTTGCAACCTACATTTTAAAAAGTGGTCTGTACAGTCATTTATTGGTTTATGTCATTTCTCAACAAACCAACTGATTTTAGATGTACTACAAACATGCACTGTAAGCCACAATTGTTAGCACTTTGCCTATACTGATACATCAAGGTTCCATGCTGTTATAGAAACATAAAGCTTACCAGAACCATTCCAGCTTTACTCCCCTGAAATCAATGT